GAAATTTCTGTAATTGAGAGAAAATATAATCTTATTATAAAATGGTTGTCATTAAAATGTGTGCATAAACATAGAATCACAAGGAAACTTGAACATATAATAGCAGCATTGGTAAAATAGGAAGGTAGAAACCTGCCTTTCTAAATGATCTGCAGTGTGATCTATGATTAGAATTGGATTTTTATCAGATTCTGGCTAATTATCAAACTAATAATTTTAATAGTGTATTTTATTTAGCTATTTCTTTTAAGTGAAAGTTTATATAGCATGAAGTAGATGTAACAGGATTTATGAATTAGGAGACAGGATTTACATCATAAAGCAGACTGTCACTGGTCATAAGATGATCAAGAATTAGAAAATAAGCTGCTTTATTTGGGCCACTTTTGTTCTTTTTTATTATAACAATGGATGAGAAAGTGATGAGAATGCCTAAGCAGATTAAATGATGCTGCTGTTGAAAATGAGAAAATAAAGCTAAAATATAATTAACTTGGAGCAAAAGGTGACTATAGTCCAATCATTTTGACCGGGGATATTTGTTTTATGGGTATACATGTATATCTATTAAAATATTCTCACTGTCAGTATTAAAACACTTGATTGTTAATAATTCTAAAATATTGCTTAAAGGAGTTGTTTTTAAGACAGATTTGTTAATACAATGCTTCTTAGGAATGCTTCTATCATAGTTCATTAGAACCGATTACATTATTACTTTCATACTAGCAGCAAAATATCAGTGATATTGGTAAACTGATATGAGTGTTGCTTTCTATTAAAAAATAATGATACCTGAAAACATTCCTATGGATTACACCAATTGCATATCAATGGTAAACATAAATCATTGTAGGGGAGTAAGCAACTCAGTTCTATCTTGTAATGTTTCTCTACAGCATCTGTTATACTCACTTGCATCCAGCTGGTGCTTAATAAATATGAACTGATTCACTGCCTCAACTTTTTCTAATTAAGCACTTATGAAATGTGGCTGGTACTTGAATTGTACTAGGCTCTTTCGTCTTCTAAACATTGGCCCCCAACCTTTTTGACACCAGGGACTGGTTTCGTGGAAGACAATTTTTCCATGGACCGGGGGTCGGGGGGGTGGGAGAGATGCTTCAGGTGGTAATGCGAGCAATGGGGAGCGGCAGATGAAGTTTCACTCACTTGCCCACCGCTCACCTCCTGCTGGGTGGCCCTGGTCTGTGGCCCAGGGGTTGGGGACCCCTGTTCTAATAATTATGATATTATTGAATAATAGTTCTCTAAACTGTGGTAGTTTTAAAGAGAAAGTCACTAATATAATTTAAACCATTTATATATATTTGCATACGTGTTTATTAAAGGTGGCACACCACTAAAGGTGATAATTCTCTTTTGTAAATCTTTAACAAAGTAGAGTGCATTGTAGACTAACTGGTTTGTAATTAAATATGCAATAAAATGAAAATAATGCAAATAAATGCAAAGATATAGAAGGAACGTTTATTATGTTCCCTCTGGACATATTCTTTTGGATTACTCTAGGAGAAATGGGATAAAAAAGAACAAAATCATTACTAAAAATAACATGAAAGAGCAACTCATAAGGTATGATATAGAAAATGCTTTATAATTATATAGTATGGTCAACCATAAATAATAAATTGTTTTAATGAAACCAAATGAAAAAAGGTTTGCTTTATAAAATGTCATCCATCTATCAATATTGGCATTCATGTATCAAAGAAGAAACTTGGGCTTCCCTGGTGGCGCAGTGGTTGAGAGTCCGCCTGCCGATGCAGGGGACGTGGGCTCGTGCCCCGGTCCAGGAAGATCCCACATGCCGCGGAGCGGCTGGGCCCGTGCGCCATGGCCGCTGAGCCTGCGCGTCTGGAGCCTGTGCTCCGCAACGGGAGAGGCCACAACAGTGAGAGGCCCGCATACCGCAAAAAAAAAAAAAAAAAAGAAAAGAAAAAGAAACGTATTCTAGGGAAGAACATGTTTCATTAAGGGATAAAGTCTAGATTGCAAGTTCAACTAGGTGGAAAAATATTTTGCAAAAGTTAATGTAAAAAGTATATTTTTTTAGTATTCTAAGGAGATTAAAATGTGGGGATTACTGCCATATTACTGAAACAAGGAGAGGGGATGATATAACATAATCATCGTAATAAAAGGTGATTTTACATTTGAGGAAACTAAAGAGTAGTGAGACTTGCATGTAGCCACAGAGCTCCTAAGTGATGCAAACTTTAGGTCCCAAGTTCTTAATCTCTATATGCAATTTATTTGCATGTGACCCATTATCTTACCTGTCTTTCCCTAAAATTATTAATTTTGGGGACTAAAGCATAATTTTTTCAGCTTCATGTTTTTAACCAAACTAAGTATAATTTACATTTACACATACACGTAAATGCATAACTTAGTATGAGTGATATCTAAATTTATCTGGATGAAAATTCCAAATTCTTATTATATATTCAACATCTAATGAAATAGTGATTATGCCATGTGTATCCCATAGATGCAGATAATATTTTCAGCATTTTATCATCTGAAAATATAATTTCAGTTGCAAAATAGAAAAGCTATAGCTTTTCTATTAACATTCTTTAATGCCTCGTCAGGAAACCTAACTACCAATGACAAACTTTCAGGAATATATAATATATGTTATACAGTGTGTTTCATCCACTCTTACCAAATATTTTACTTATCCTGCTACTTTGTTTTTTAGTAAATAGCGGTTACTTAGCTCTCCATTATAAATAAGGTAGGGAAAGTGTGTCACCAGGAACAAAGAACATGATCAAACACTTCAGTCGATCATGCTTTCATTCTTTCTTACACTCATATAAACCAAGTCACGGGAACTTAAAGCATTTTTTTTCTCACCTACTTATTCTTAAAGTGGGACCCAGCACTTCATTATATTTCTAAAACTAATATCCAAATCTGCAAAACAACCCAATAAGTCTAGATTTTAATATTTAAAAAATTTGTGAGCAAGTTTCTACTTTATAATACAGACCAAATTTAGACATCTCATTAGATCTCTGCTCTAAAACTTAAGTTCCATGCCCCAGCCTGCTTAGCTTCCTGACCCTATTTCCAGTACGCAGCCTTCACTTCTCAAACCCCTTCTTTTGTGTTAGATCATATAGTTTTGCTCTTATTTTGTTCTCACTGAGCAGTGCACATATTCAACAATTAGATGAATGCATCCCCCGGAAAACAGCTGAGTCAGTGTTTATTATATAAACTTATCATTTAGGGCTCTCAGTCCTCACACTACATGAATGATCATAGAATTCTCATAAGAACCAGATCTGGGATGGGTGGAAGGAGTTCTGCTTCTGAAAATAGTTAAGATTTTTTTCTGTATTGTTCCTCATTCATTGATTGACTTACAAAATATTTACTGAGTACCTGTTTTGTACAGAGTACTAAGTTAGCAACTTAGAGATATAAGCATTAATTGAAAGAGTCTTTTCTCTCAAGGAGCTTATCATTGTGCACTGGGGAAAATATGCAAATAATTAGATATAAGACATTTGGAATGAAATTCGAGCGAGCAAGCAAGATCTTATTGGAGCACAAGGCAGGGATACACCATTTCTAATTGGATATCACTCAAGAGATGATATTTATATTGACTTCTGAAGAAAAATAAAAAATTGATAGATGGTAAGAGGAGTACTTAGGGAAAGTAAAATTATTAAAATGAAAATTATTAAAAGATAAAATTATTTAAATGGCACAGAGGTGAGAAATAGCTTTCCATGTACATGGAGCAACAAGTAATCCAATGTGTCCATAATCCATAATGACTTGAAAGATGAACTGAAACGTGTGTCTGAAAAGATAACATGGTACAAGATCATGGAGGTCCTTGAACTATAAAATAAAGATTTTGGAACTCACCATATAAAGAATGGGAGCCATTGGTATTCATTTAGCAGAGAAATGACATTGTAGCCTCTTGTTCCATTTTTTTTAAGTTCACACCTGCTGCTTTCTTTGTTTACTTCAACCTTCCACCATGGCCTTTCCAATCCCCCACACTGCTGTTTGGTAAAATCCATAAATTAGTTTGGTTCACCTCTTATGGAAGGTGTTTCACCTCTTCTGTTAGATGTTGCAGGACTACCTTTTCTCATCATAGTTTGCACACGTTTCCCATCTTCTTTCCTTGAGCTCAGACTATATATACCCTTTTATGATTTTTGTGTAAGAATCTTCTCTTTTCTAATCTACCTCTTTCACTTGACTTGAATTCAGGGAGAATTTATCATTGGTCTTTGTATCCTCAGTGTCTTTCTTGCATGTTTCCTTCTAAGGACTTAATAAATTTTGGTTAACCGAATGCTCAGAACTGTGTCTTGGTAAGAAAATTTTGTCATTGATGAAGAAAGCACATTGCATAGACAACAGAATAAAATTAGAGATAATAACTAGATGGTCACTAAAGTGGGAGGTCATGAGAGGATAAAATAAGAAGGTGAAAGGATAAATGGAAAGAAGATGCCAAAGAGAGAAGCTGATTAGATGGGACAGAGGTATGAAAACTGATTTGAAGATGACCCTCGATAACTTGGGGAAAGGCTACATGTTATCAAACATTGGGTTGATCTTGCTAAAGGAAGATAAGAGCTCTCTTTTAAATGGGTTGTAGTTGATATATCTACTGGGGCATCATTTTTTCAGATATCTGGAAACCACAACCATTCCCTCTTAAAACAGAAATGTGGACTACTATTTCTTTTGTCTAAAAACCGAAAAAATTATCCCTAAGCAAGTTTGAGCTGTAATACTCTAAGAGTCTATTACAGTGAGGAAAAAAATCCAACTAGAGATAAATGTACATCTCATCCTGTTTCTTAGAAAGAAAAAATATCTAGTATTTTCCACTAATCTTAAGATTTGGTGTTCAAAAGTTCAAGTTCTGTTTAAATCTTACTCAGTTGATTCAAAATTAATTATGTTATTTCTCTCTTGCTTTTCTACAGTATGCTGTCTGGCTAGTCCTCTGGGTTACGTGGAATGTGTTTGTTATCTGCTTCTATTTGGAGGCTGGGGACCTCTCAAAGGTAATTTGCCATCTGATTTGCCTGAGTCATCAGTTGTGTGTTAACAAGCCTCTTCCTAAGTAAGGCAGAGTCTCACCCTGCTCTTGTCACTTAGATGCACCTCGAATGAAGGTAAATTGAAAGATGTCCTCATCTATCTCTCTGCATTTCTACCATCAAAGAAACATTTCAGTGTGTCACAAAAATGTCATTTTATTATTTTAAGCAAAACTAAATGAAATATTGATTATTACGGTGACCATACTGTGTACTTTTAAAACATTGACTTGTAAGAGATTTCTGAAGCAGAGTAGGAAGTTTTTCAGAGATAAAATCTTGAAGATTTTTGAAATCACTTAGTTGGCTTATTACTCTGCTAAAGACTTTCCTGATTGGACCCAAATAGCAATATAATGATTCAAATAATTAATGGGTTTTAGTTGAATAAAACTGTTACCAGAGGGATATAATTTATTACATAAATGAATAAAATAGACATTTTATTCTAAAATAATCTAGGAAGGACTTAAAATACTTACATTTTCATTTAGGTTTCTTTATTTTGTGCCGTCCTGTATGAGTGTCTGTATGTATGTGTGTTTGCGTACGTCTTGCTATTATATTTCTAACATAAATGCCTTACTATTGAAATAATGCAGTTTGTAGATCTCTAAAACCAACATCCTTCTTCTTTTGGAATGCAATTAACAGCAACTAAGTCAAATGAGATAATCCATTCAAAGTAGCAGTAAATCTTGCTTGAGACATTTGAGAGAGTTGTAAACTTGTACTTCTTCATATTAACTTTAAAAGATAGAGATTGTAAAATGTTCTTTTACCTCTCTATCCCTTAGATCAGAAAGACCCTGCAAAGATGTTGACATTTTTAAAACCCAGAGATGATAACCTGCTTTCAAAGGCTAAAAGAGCTAAAAAGTCTCCAGGAACTACCTTTTCAGGGCTATATATCTTGGTGGGCGGGGGATGGGGTGATGGTAACACACATTTATAATCTAGCATACAGGAGTTTCCCAAAGCACTCTGAGCATTTTCAAGTATGTTTATTTATTACTTAACTATGATACTGAGTATAAATGATCTTTTTTTTCATTTTAACCATTTTATTTTTTTTATTTATTTATTTTTTCTTTTTAACATCTTTATTGGAGTATAATTGCTTTACAATGGTGTGTTAGTTTCTGCTTCACAACAAAATGAATCACTTATATATATACATATGTTCCCATATCTCTTCCCTCTTGCGTCTCCCTCCCTCCCACCCTCCTATCCCACCCCTCCAGGCGGTCACAAAGCACCGAGCTGATCTCCCTGTGCTATGCGGCTGCTTTCCACTAGCTATCTACCTTACGTTTGGTAGTGTATATATGTCCATGCCTCTCTCTCGCTTTGTCACAGCTTACCCTTCCCCCTCCCCATATCCTCAAGTCCATTCTCTAGTAGGTCTGTGTCTTTATTCCTGTCTTACCCCTAGGTTCTTCATGACTTTTCTTCTTAAATTCCATATATATGTGTTAGCATACGATATTTGTCTCTCTCTTTCTGACTTACTTCACTCTGTATGACAGACTCTAGGTCTATCCACCTCATTACAAATAGCTCAATTTCGTTTCTTTTTATGGCTGAGTAATATTCCATTGTATATATGTGCCACATCTTCTTTATCCATTCATCCGATGATGGACACTTAGGTTGTTTCCATCTCCGGGCTATTGTAAATAGAGCTGCAATGAACATTGTGGTACATGACTCTTTTTGAATTATGGTTTTCTCAGGGTATATGCCCAGTAGTGGGATTGCTGGGTCATATGGTAGTTCTATTTGTAGTTTTTTGAGGAACCTCCATACTGTTCTCCACAGTGGCTGTATCAATTTACATTCCCACCAACAATGCAAGAGGGTTCCCTTTTCTCCACACCCTCTCCAGCATTTATTGTTTCTAGATTTTTTGATTATGGCCGTTCTGACTGGTGTGAGATGATATCTCATTGTAGTTTTGATTTGCATTTCTCTAATGATTAGTGATGTTGAGCATTCTTTCATGTGTTTGTTGGCAATCTGTATATCTTCTTTGGAGAAATGTCTATTTAGGTCTTCTGCCCATTTTTGGATTGGGTTATTTGTTTTTTTGTTATTAAGCTGCATGAGCTGCTTATAGATTTTGGAGATTAATCCTTTGTCAGTTGCTTCATTTGCAAATATTTTCTCCCATTCTGAGGGTTGTCTTTTGGTCTTGTTTATGGTTTCCTTTGCTGTGCAAAAGCTTTTAAGTTTCATTAGGTCCCATTTGTTTATTTTTGTTTTTATTTCCATTTCTCTAGGAGGTGGGTAAAAAGGATCTCGCTGTGATTTATGTCATAGAGTGTCCTGCCTATGTTTTCCTCTAAGAGTTGGATAGTTTCTCACCTTACATTTAGGTCTTTAATCCATTTTGAGCTTATTTTTGTGTATGGTGTTAGGGAGTGATCGAATCTCATAGTTTTACATGTACCTGTCCAGTTTTCCCAGCACCACTTATTGAAGAGGCTGTCCTTTCTCCACTGTACATTCCTGCCTCCTTTATCAAAGATAAGGTGACCATATGTGCATGGGTTTAACCTCTGGGCTTTCTCTCCTGTTCCATTGATCTATCTTTCTGTTTTTGTGCCAGTACCATACAGTCTTGATTACTGTAGCTTTGTAGTATAGTCTGAAGTCCGGGAGCCTGATTCCTCCAGCTCCGTTTTTCTTTCTCAGGATTGCTTTGGCTATTCGGGGTCTTTTGTGTTTCCATACAAATTGTGAAATTTTTTGTTCTAGTTCTGTGAAAAATGCCAGTGGTAGTTTGATAGGGATTGCATTGAATCTGTAGATTGCTTTGGGTAGTAGAGTCATTTCACAATGTTGATTCTTCCAATCCAAGAATATGGTATATCTCTCCATCTATTTGTATCATCTTTAATTTCTTTCATCAGTGTCTTATAATTTTCTGCATACAGGTCTTTTGTCTCCTTAGGTAGGTTTATTCCTAGATATTTTATTCTTTTTGTTGTAATGGTAAATGTGAGTGTTTTCTTGATTTCACTTCCAGATTTTTCATCATTGGTGTATAGGAATGCCAGAGATTTCTGTGCATTAATTTTGTATCCTGCTACTTGACCAAATTCATTGATTAGCTCTAGTAGTTTTCTGGTAGCATCTTTAGGATTCTCTATGTATAGTATCATGTCATCTGCAAACAGTGACAGCTTTACTTCTTCTTTTCCGATTTGGATTCCTTTTATTTCCTTTTCTTCTCTGATTGCTGTGGCTAAAACTTCCAAAACTATGTTGAATAAGAGCGATGAGAGTGAGCAACCTTGTCTTATTTCTGATCTTAGTGGTAGTGCTTTCAGTGTTTCACCATTCAGGACGGTTTGCTGTGGGTTTGTCATATATGGCCTTTATTATGTTGAGAAAGTTCCCTCTATGCCTACTTTCTGCAGGGTTTTTATCATAAATGGGTGTTGAATTTTGTCAAAAGCTTTCTCTGCATCTATTGAGATGATCGTATGGAGTATAAATAATGTTGACTTTTTTTTTTCAATTTCAAATGATGAAAGATAAAGTAAGAGGGTGACGTTATCATATGAAACAGACCCAAGGCTTCTGGAACCTGTAGTTTTATGAGCAGATTTTGGACAAGTCCTCATTGTGGCCCTCGGCAGTGTCTGCCCTGGTGGATGGCATTTCTGTATTCTTGCCGGTCATCGTACTCCACACTCTCAGCAGCAAGCGGTCCTTTCCTGAACATGCCGTGACCAATGAAAAGGAATTGTTCAGGTGGCTCTAGGAAAGACACATCATTTTCTGCTTAAAGCTCACATTCCCAGGACTTGAATTCCTTACCCAATTTATATATCTCTGCTGTATAATCCACTTTGTTCAAAGAGATTCCTCACTAAAATGACTTTTAATGATATTTTCAATTTTAAATAATCACCTTAATTATTGGAGGACAGGTATTCAGTCATATTGGCTGAGTAAGATGATCGAGCAGATCAGAGTTTGTTTAATATTAAAAAAAAGAGGGAGAAATCTGAGCCAAGCTGGCTGCACAAATGTGTAATTTTTCTCACTGCTCCATGTGATGACTGCAGACACAAAATAAAGCTTGTGATCCCATGACCTTGGACATGGGCATTGAAACCATAACGAGGACACATCCTAAAACATTAGAGTTCAAGAGAGTTGCAACCCAAATGACTAAGAATTCTTCTAATGCACACAGGCAGGTAATGACTATCCCATGGCAGTGAAGCAGTTAATAATATTTCCTTTTCTTTTCATCTTACAAACAAAGGCTAGACTCTGCAGAGCACATGAAAATTTAATAATTTCCTTTTAACAAATAATCTAAAGGAAAACCATAAAGGGCAAAGTTATATTGTTATCTGTACTGGGATTTTCCTCCCTTTCCTGCTCAAAGGGTTTGAGAAAGGTATATTTATGCCATTTAATTCTTTAGCTTCTGCAACTGCCTCACATTCTTCAAGTATCAGAGTGCCAGAAATAAGCAATGGTGATTGAAAAATGTACAGATATATGAAAGCTCAAAAATGGGACTCTTGAAACTGCTGATAATACTTAGGTTACAGAATATAAACCACTTTTTTCCCTCACCTCACCCAAAAAAATAAACTAATTTGACCATAAGAATGGGTCAGTTTGTTTGAGGCTGAGGGACAAATATGGGAAACAGAATCAGGGAGGAAATTCTGTGGTCTTTATATACGTGAGAGAAGTAGGTTTGTTTCCATAAAACATTTTGTAAAGAATTGATTTCTTCATAATGAATATTGGCAAGAAATGATAAAAAGCAGTAAAATATTAAGGCAAACTTGAGTTACCCGTTAGAGTTTAGAATTTTTTGTTGTCCTTTTCCAGTGTCTTTTCTGCTTTTTCTGCTAAACTATCTGCCTGTACTTATGAGAGAAATAGATATTAGCATCATTAATGAAGCCAGTGTGTACCTTCGGGAATGA